TATTATTTTAAGGGTTATTATAAATTATTGCAGGTGTTTTTAATATTATTTTATTATTATATTTTCATTCTGTAACAATGTTAAAATTCTGTAATATTTTCAAAAATCTCCATAGGTCCTATAAATTTATGGAATTTTAATGTTTATAAAATTTCCAGAATATTTTACCTACTAAAATTTTTTGAAAAGGTATCTAATTTGAATAAATAAGATATTATATGATAACCCTTGACCTGGAGATTCTTTTAAAAAAAAATTTGTACAATTTAAATAAATTATTCATTGTGACAAAATTTACCCTTGAAATTTTTTAAAAAATTTGAAAAAAAAACAGCTGTCAGCAGGCTGGTATATATTATCTTTTTATTATTATTTCTCCAGTAAATATAATGTAAGTAAATAATAATAATTATTATTCTTATTTAAACAATGATTTGAATATTTCATAATCAAAATTCAATAATGCTTTAATATCATTCTATAAATTAAATTAATAAAATTTGATTAATAATAATAAATTGAAATAGATAATAATAATAATAACAAAAACAACAACAACAACAACAACAACAATAATAATAATAATAATAACAATAACAATACAAACCTCAAGAATTTTTGAATTATTAATATTAACACAAACTGATTTTAATAGTTGATATAATTTCCTTAATGTTTTTTTAAGTGTTTCAATATTATCAATATTATCAATATTATTATCTTTTATAATATATAAATTTAGCAATGATTAATAATAATTAATAATAATTAATATAATCAATAATGATTAATATAAAAAATTACCTTTCCATTCACTTTGTTTAAATTGACTTATATCATTTATATTATACCATGAAGTTGCTATTGACTTTAATATCACACCTTCATATTGAGGTATTCTTTTAATAAATCATTAATAAATAAATCATTAATAATGAATAAATAAATCATTAATAATGAATAAATTAATAAATCATTAATAATGAATAAATTAATAAATCATTAATAATGAATAAATTATTAAATTATTAATAATAAATAAACAATAAGAAATACCTTGGCCAACATTTAATTATTAATTTTTCAATTCCTTTTGAAGCAGTTAAATGTAAATTCAATATTTCATCTCTATTGGAAACTATTAATGGAATTTCCAATGTACTACAAAGATAATTTATTAAATCCTTTTTGATGGATGATAATAAAAGATTAATAAGATAATGAATAGATTAATATAATATAATATATAATATAATGATTTGAATATTAATGATATAATGAATAATTAATAATGAATATATAATAATAATGAATATAATAATAATTAACATTACCTTTAAATATTTAACAACAACAATTCCTAATTCACTAACAAGTGGAATAACTTGATCCAATAAAACTTGTTTAATAACCAATTTATCACCTGCATAAATGAATCCTTTAATTATATGTTGAGATAATATTTTCTCATATTTTAAATATCTCGATTCAGATTCCATTGAATCAACAGTTGATATTAATTCAATGATAGCTGAATAACTTGATTGTAATAATGATACATGAGTAATTTCTTGTTGATAACTAAGACAATTTAATAATGCATCATAAAATACATCACTTAATCCTGATCGTTGAATGATTTCTGATTTTTTAACTTTTTTTAATAAATGATTTAATATGATTACACCTTGAGTCTTGAATCTAATATCATAATCATCAATTAATGATAAAATTGGTGGAATTATTAATCCAATTGTTGATTCTATTTCTGATCCCTGATTTATAATAATGATTTTATAATTATTTATAATAATTTATAATAATTTATAATAATTTATAATAATTTACCTTCATCAATAGAACACACCAACAAAGTATATAAACTGCATGTGAAATTTCACCTCGCCATAAATCATTTTCACCATAATTTAATATTCGTTTACTAAATGTTTTTCCTTCCCGTTTTTCCGTGTGAATTTTTGAATGTTTTAAAAATATGGGTTTAACTGAATTTTCTAATATTTCTGGTAAATTTGCATTATACTTTTTGGATGCGGGAATTTTAAACAGATTTGAATCCGAAGTTGAATCTGGAATATCCCATTCATCTCTAGTTATCGTTGTTCTATTAATAGTATCAGCAGTGGTAGTGGTGGTGACAGGTACGGATAAAGAAGTAAGAGTATTATTAGCTAAATCATTTAATTTTTGAGTAACTTGAATAATTAGATCAGAGTTATTTGAACTCCAAGCATCTACGTATTCATTTAATTTTTGAGTGGCTTGAATAATTAGATCAGGGTTATTTGTACTCCAAGAATTTACGTAATCGTGTCGTGCTTCAAGGGTTAAAAGGGAAGGAAAGAAATCTCGTTTAATTATTTCACTTAAATCATCAGTGTAATTCATTTGGATCACGGCAAATATGACTGCACTTTTAATATGAAGTAAAGATTTTTTTTTTTTATAGATGATCTTCCACATGTGATTGAGTAAGATATGTACAACAATATAACTGTAATTTTATATCATCATCATTTTTAATGTGTCATATATCATAAATTGATATAATTATTATAATTAATTTTTTTTTTTTGTTTTGATGATGATGGTGATAGTATTAATAAAAGGTAAAAAATTATTTCATTCAATAAATTTCTGTAATATGGACAAAAAAAAAATTTCGAAAATATTGTTCCTATATCACAAATGTTATTAGATAATAATCCCATTTTGCCATTTTAACTTGCCAACACTAAACATAATAAATGGCTGAAATTTATTATTGTTGTTATTATTATTATTAGTGATATTAATATAAGTCAATATAAATAATTAAATAATGATGAAATAAAAAATATCAATATTTTACCATAATGCGATTTAATAAATTCTGTTTTGGTGGCTATGTGCGATTGACACCAAGTCACCTATAGATTCGATCTTTAATAAATACTTACTACAAAAATAAATTCTATGTAAATATTATTAATTAGATTTAGATTAAATAATTATTTTATAAAAAATTGAGATCGCTCACCAAAATTATATTTCTTGAATGCAATTGCATAATTATAATAATTATAATAATTATACAATTGGGATAATTGCAGTTGATATCTAATAATAAAAAATATGTTAATTGATAAATAAAAATTTAATGAAAATATTAATTAATAAGTAATAATAATTCAACCTACAATTGACTAATCCCAACCTCCACCTGAAATTGATGAACCTTTAAATAAATTTATTTTGATGAAAAATTAATAAAATTATAATTATAATTATAATTATATGAAACATAAATAAAAAAAAAAATTTGATAAATCAAATTTACCGGCAGGTACTTTCAGTTCTGAATCCGATCCCTGATTATCCTGATTATCATCATCCTTATCACCCCAACCTTTTATAAAGTTATATAAAGTTTTATGAAGCAATTAAAATTAAATGAATTATTAAAATAAATTATTAATATATACCTTTAGATTCTTCTTTAGGTGGTTCACCCCAGCTTTCATTTTGCGCATTAAGCGTTTCTTCTTGTTGATCAGCCCAACTATTACTTTCATTATTATTAAAACTACTATTATTATTACTGGGTTTATTAGGTGGATCTCGACTTTGTTCATGTCTACCTCCAAACCCACGTCTAAACCCACCACCACCACCGCTACCGACACGTCGTCCTCTACTACCTCCTCTACCTCTTCCTGAACCACCATAATAATCTTTAGAACCATATTCGTTATTATCTCCGCGAGCATATCTAGAACCTGCTCTACTACCACTATATTCACTTTCCCCACGAATATTTCTAACACTACTACTTTTAGTTTCATATTGACTACTACCACGAGAACTTCTTCCACTTCTTCCTCCATAACCATTATTACTATTATTACTATTATTGTTACGGGAATTTCTATATTCTTCATATTCATTATTCTCCGGATAAGAATTTTTACGACCAAATCCATTATAATTGTTATTAATTTTATGACGAGAATCTCGATCAGTATCGTTTTCATCAAATGAACCATTCTTTTGAGAATAATTTCGTTGATTTAGACGTGGTTCATTCCAACCGGTTTCCTTTTCTTTATCCCATTCTCGTGTATCTCGATTTTGAATTTTACGTTGAGCGTTTTCTTGGCGTTCATTACTTAAAAAATAATATTTATGAATTTTGAAACAAAAGTAATCATAAACAATAAGATAAAATTCTTACTCAAGTAACTGTCTCTGTTGAAATTCATGTCTTTTTCTTTCTTCGGCCTCCTCTTCCTGTTTTTTTCTTTGCACCTCCATATCCTCTAATTCTTTTCGCTTTCTTTCTTCATCTTCTTTTTTAAATGCTTCTTCATCCTCTTCTACTTGCTTCATTATGTAAATTATAAAATAAATATTAAATTTGAATTAATTTTGTGAAATATAAATAAAATAATAAATTGCAAAAATTTAAAGACAAACCTTTCGTTTTTCCAATATCTTTTCATTCTGAATACGGATTCTTTCCATACGTTTAGTGAGTTGCTCTTCATTCAATTTCTATTTATTTTTATATATATATATATATATATATATAATATCAAACATTTTATAAATAATTAGAATGCATAATTGCATTATGTCATCCATTATTTTATTTTTTTTTAATACAAACCTGACGAACACTACCACCAGACAATATGCGATCTTTATTTACATAAGGAGTAGGATTAGATGCATGCATGCTCTCATTCAAGCTGCTGCTAGGTTTTTTTGCGAGAGAATTAGATTCTCCACTAGATTCATCATTATCGATCTTTTCACGATTGTCGCGATTGTCACGATGACTGCGATACTCCCTATTGTCACGATGTTCTCGACTATCACGACGATCTCGATTGTCACGATGGTCTCGATTATCACGATGGTCTCTATTATCACGATGGTCTCTATTATCACGATGGTCTCTATTATCACGATGGTCTCTATTATCACGATGGTCTCTATTATCACGATGGTAGTCTCGATTATCTAGGAATTATTAAATAAAAGTATATAAGAATTATATTAAATAGTTTTAAATATCTTTTAATAAGTTTTGAAATTTGATAATTACCATTATATCTGTTTCCACCAACACGTGAAAAGGAATGATAATCTGACTCCCCTCGTCTACCTCTACCTCTTCCGCGAGGAGCTCCACTTCGTCCGCCTCGTCCACGACCCCCTCCTCTAAATGATGATTGGTTCTCTTGCCTTTGGAAATTAGAATTCGAAGATCCCCAATTAGAATTCCATTCGGAAGATTTTGGTTCCGTGGTTTCTTCGGATTCCCATCCACTAGGTATATTTTTATCGTCAGCTTCAGGATTATACCAAGGAAAAACATCTTCAACTTCGTTACCAAAAGTCATAGTACCCCAACCCTCATCATCATTTCCTTGACCATTATCTGATTCGGGTATAGATTCTTGAGTTAATTCTTTATCCCAAGTATCTTCTTGTTGTTCTACACCTCCTTGGTTTCCTTTTTCATGAGGCTTTGTATCTTCTCCGGAACCTCTTCTTGAACCTTTTTCTGACATTTTAGATGAACTCGTTTTCTTTTCGATAACTTTATCCGTTTTTTTCCAACCTTCGTTACTTTTTTCACTTTTTTCGTCATCCATTTTAGTTTTGGTTGCCTGTCGCCATGTACTATCGTTATTTCTAGGTTCGGAATCTATATGTTCAAATTAAGTTACTAAAATAGAGAATAGATGGAGTAACACAAATTCAAAATTTATATTTGTCATACCCCAACTGTTCTCTTTATCTTGAATTTTTTTCACGTGAGAATTTGTTGAATTACGACCACTTGTCTCGTCTTGTTTATCGTTCCAGCCCCAAGTATTATCTTCATTTTCTTCAAATTTGGTAGAAGTTGATTCCCAACTTTCACCATTATTTGACTTACGAACTATATTACTTGGGTCACTTCGATCTCTAACGTTTTTACCACTTGAGTTTGAAGCAGGTTTTGTTACTTTCTCGGTTGAAAAGTTTTCATTATCAGGCCAATAAGAATTAACTTGTTGTGAAGGTGGATCACCCCAACCTAACTCATTATTATCTTCTTGGTGTACACTTACTTCCCAACCATCATCATTACTCTCCATAATGTTCAAAATGATTTTGTTCTTAAGAGTATAATAAACTTTGGAAAAAATAAAACTAGCCTTAAAACCAGATATTTTATTTTTATTTGATGGATGGCTGATTATTATTATCGTTTGTGTAATCAATCAAGTTATTTTAGTTTTATAGTAATTCACGTGAAATCTCAGATTTTTATTTTTCATATTTGTAAAAATTTTGATCAGGTATCTTGTAAAAAAAAAATGTCTCCAACGCGTAAAGAAGTTCTATCACTTTATCGTTCTTTTCTTCGTATAATCGAACGTTGGCCTACTGATTACTTACGACCGAACCGAAACTTGAAACATGTACTTAATTTACGTGTCGCTGAAGGTTTTAGACAACATATAGTCGTTAAAGACGCGAATGATTTTAATACTTTATTTTTTGGAGCAAATTCTGAACTTGAGGCATTAAAAAGTTTGGTGGATAATGAATTTAAAGAAAAGGTCTTTATGAAATTTATCTATCTTTGATTATACACACAGATAAATAGATATATATATATATATATATATATATACACAAATGTAAATTTAATTAAAATTTATCATTTAATTTTTTCAAGTATCCACTTTCTGATCGAATTTACCAACCTGCAGCTAATCCGAAATATTATTCAGGATTAATTGCTGCTATTGATAAAGCTGCTAAACAAAAACGAGAAGAAGATGCGAAACAGCCTTCATTATGGGAAAGAATTTTTAAGTTTTTGACTTTTAATCGAAATAAAATTTTATAGCTTTAATATATTACTTTCGTATTTTCTACGGGAAATGAAAATTTTCCTTTATTAATAATTATTAAAGAAAAGAAGGTAAAGTTTATAAATAAGATGTATTTTTAAATCAATTATATGACAAAGAATATTTACCAATTTTTTTTATCTGTAACAATTTTTAAATTTAGTTTCATTCAGTCTCAACAGAGGTAAGATTATTAGTATCAAAACCTATAGAATTAAATTATATAATTAAATTATATAATTATGTAATCAGTAAAGGAAATAGAATTTAAAGAAATTAAAAGAAAATAAAATATTTAATTTATTATTATTATTATTATTTATACCTGGCATAGGGAATTTAGTAGCAAATTTTTCTACTTCTTTGTTTAAAATAGAAATTTCTTCCATATCTTGACATGCCATCATGAAATCTTTCATCATTTTACTACCTGCTTTTTCCTATTTAAATTAATTACCTTTAGATTAAAATTTGATATATTGGATTCTATTTAAAATTTTTAATTTAAAAATTTAAAATATAAATAAATAGATTAATGTACAACCTGTACTTTGAGTGCAATTTGGACTGCACGATGTAAAAGTTCGGCAACTTTAACAAAATCTTCTTCCTTAAAACTTCTTGATGTTAATGCTGGAGTTCCAAGACGAATACCCCCTGGAGAAACCATATTAACATCACCACGGATGGAATTTTTATTAACTGTAATGCTATAAGATGACGCTATAAGAATGACAAATTGAAAATCAAAAAATTCGAATTCCTAATAAACTCTCGTAATTGTATACATACTTGACCATATCACAAATCTTCTCTACTTTACTACCAGTTAATTTAAGTGATCTTAAATCCCAAAGAATTAAATGATTATCTGTTCCTCCAGTCACTATTTGATAACCACGTTCAATGAGAGCTTTACTTAAAGCTTGAGCATTAAGTCTAACTTGTTTTGAATATTGTTGAAATTCGGGGGTGGCCACTTGTTTCAAACAAACAGCAATAGCAGCAATTGTATTATTATGAGGACCTCCTTGACAAGATGGAAAAACGGCATTATTCACTCGATCTTCCAAATCATTCTTTTTTCTGAAAAAAATTAATCCTGCACGTGGACCTCTAAGTGTCTTATGAGTAGTAGTTGTCACTACATCACATAACTCAAAAGGATTATTTGCTTCTTTACTCGCGACCAATCCACTAATATGTGCAATATCTGCTAATAAAAACGCGCCATGTTTATCAGCAATTTTTCTTAACATAACATAATCCCAATCACGTGGATATGCGCTGGCACCACAAATTATCAATTTTGGGCGATAAATGCTTGCAGTCTTTTCAAGTTGATCATAGTCAATAATTCCAGTTTCCAAATTAACTTGATACGGCATCGATTCAAAATATATTGAAGAACTTGATATTTTCTTCTTTGAAGTTTGCCATCCATGGGTTAAATGACCACCTGATGGTAAATCCAAACCCATTAAACGATCGTGGGGTTGAAGTAAAGCTGTTAAAGCAGAAAAGTTGGCGGTACTTCCCGAATAAGATTGAACATTTACACCCCACTCAGCAGGATTTAAATGGAAGGCGTTTAATGCTCTTTTACGACATAAATTTTCAATTTGATCAATATATTCATTGCCACCGTAATAACGAGCTCCAGGGAGACCTTCAGAATATTTATTCGTTAAAGGTGACCCATTTGCTTCCATCACCGCAAGTGAAGTGAAATTCTAAACATTTTCAAAAAGATAAAATTAATAAAATATGACATATATAATCCTTATAATTCTCAATTATTACTTTAATTACCTCTGAAGCAATCAGTTCTAGACCGGAAAATTGTCTGTATTTCTCTTTTTGAATCAAATCATAGATTTCTGTGTCGTCTTCTTGTAAAGGAGTGTTTAGACAAGCATTCTGTAAAACATCATAAAACGCGATTTATTTAATAAATACAATTATTAGAAATATGATAATTATTCAAATGATAAATTACCCACGGAGCAACTTCGGGAGAGGTCATTTTAGCCAACTTGATTTTTTTTTTTTTTAAAAAAAAAAAAAAAAAAGGAAGGTAAAAATAAAACAATTGATGATGCGTCCAATCAAATTAAATGATCACCTTCTTGGAAGGTGACGTCAATCAAAAAAAAAAAAATAAAATTCGATTTCCAAGTCGATTGTGTTCCCCCTCTTTTGGAATCAGCGAAATCTTTTTTTTTTTTTTTTTTGACAGTTATGTCTAAATTTCCAGCGATCCTTAACGGTATTTTATCAATACTCATCATTTCGAATAATAAACTTAGTTATAGCGAATTTATCAAGATTTATCTCAAAGTGAATATATATATTTTTTTTTGAATAATGAATTAGCCACGGAGCAAGACATCCAACACCTCCTATCGGCGCAATGTCATATCGGAGCCAAAAACTTGAATGTTCAAATGGAACCATATGTCTGGAAGCGTCGTGATGACGGTAATTCTCTGATAAAAATAACTTTCCTGTTTTAATTTTAATTTATTGATATATTCGAAAAATATTGAAAAAAAAAAATTTTTGGAAAATTAATTAATCAGAATCGATAATTTTATTAATAAACTTTTTTAATGATATTTTCAGGGATTTTTATTATTAACATTGGAAAAACGTGGGAAAAATTGATTTTCGCTGCCCGTATCATCACTGCCATTGAAAATCCTGCTGATGTTGTTGTAATTTCAGCTCGTCCCTATGGTCAACGTGCTGTATTGAAATTCGCATCTTATACAGGCGTTCAACCTATTGCTGGTCGATTTACTCCGGGAACTTTTACTAATTATATTACTAGATCATTTAAGGAACCTCGTTTGATTATAGTAACTGATCCAAAAACCGATCATCAAGCCATTCAAGAGGCTTCATATGTTAATATTCCTGTTATCGCATTAGCTGATACAGATTCATCTCTTCGATTCATTGATGTTGCAATTCCTACTAATAATAAAGCCAAACATTCAATTGGTCTTATTTATTGGTTGTTAGCTCGTGAAGTACTTCGTCTGCGTGAAAGCATTTCCCGAGAATCACCATGGGACGTAATGGTTGATATGTTCTTTTATCGTGATCCCGAAGAAGTTGAAAAGGAGTCGGAAGCTGTTGGTCCCGTAGCCGAGAAACCACCAACTACATTTCCATTTGATGGTACTTCCAATTGGGATCATCAAGATAGTACTACAAATTGGGATGCATCTGGTACAGCAGCACCTGGAGCTATTAATCCTAATGTTGCAGTTTTAGCTACTGCTCATGCTTCACAACCAAATTGGGATACAAATACAGATACGGGTACAGGAGGTTGGGGCGAACCTTCACTCACTGAACCAACTGCTGGTCTTGGTACTGAATCTTGGGCTGATGAAACGTCAGTTAGTTGGGATGAAAAACCTGCCACCACAACTACAACCACATCTACAACAAAACCAACTTGGGATACAGCAGAAGATACTACTACTACCACTACTACTATCACCACTACCACCACTACCGCTGGAGCAGGTGAAACAGGTGAAACAGCTGGAGATGCTGGAGGTTGGAATGAACCTGGAACAGGTGGTTCAGGTTGGGATACAAATGAAAATGATAATACTGGATCAGGCTGGGATTAAATTAACTAGTTATAATTATATAAAAAAAAAATCTATTTTTTTATAGACAATTTATGCAATTTATAAATTTTTCTTGTTCAAAAAAATTTGAAGGAAACAAAAGCAAATAAAATATTAATATCAAAATAATATTATTTATTTATTATATTTGTATACTCGAAATTTTTAAATCTCGGTAATAATTTATCATCCAAATTAAGTGTGTACTACCTAAGATGATCTGTCCTCTCATTAATTTTTGTCGATCCCCGATGTCATAAATTAAAATCATTAACGTGATTGACAAAGATGTAATAAATCTATTCACCGACCATGAACGTAGTGAGTTGTCAGGCCTGGAATTTGCGTATATTAGAACTTTATTGTTTTATTTTGCATTATTACAGTAAAATTCATTTGCCCTTCCAAAATAACGAATTAAGAAAATAGCGCAAATTTAGTTGGACCTTTTTAATGTTATTTAATTAATTTTCAGCTAGTTCGTGGTACAAAAATAAGTATAATTCAGCGGTTGCATATTTGTTAACCTATCGGTCAAAAAAAGCTATGTGAGTAGAACAGCAATGTCACCCTTCTATAGCATAAATCCTATCCCAAATTAGATACAATATTACTAATTAACATCGGCATCTATTATTAATTCGAATTCTGCTATATGAAATTTTTTAGTATGTTCTCTAATTAAATGGATAGGCGTCTGGTCTGTTATCATATCCTCCATGAAGAATTCCTACCACCTGATTGTCTTTATCAAAAACTGGAGAACCCGAATCTCCTGGAGCACCTGTATTATAAATTAATGGTAGATAAAAATCAATTGCAAAATATTACTCAAATAACCCATTGACTTACCAAATGGTCCATTAGTACCATGTACCTTTAAAACAGAGACTCTTTTACGATCTTTATCTTTGAAGGCTGAGGATTTAATCTTAACCCATTGATCTATCATTTTTCCTTCCGTGAAATACGTACTCCTACCAACCTTTCTAACTTCTATTATATTATTTGAATCATTGCTTACAGAAGTCTTGAAACTGCAAACAGTTATTTCACTTCCATATATTTTATTTGGATTTGCTGGCACCCTATTATTATTGGAGATCTTGCATAAGACGTAATCAAGGAGGCATCCATCTTTGTTGGTACTCAAGGAGTTGTATTTTGTAACTGTGGCACAACCCTTAGAAATCTATATCAAAAAAGAGAGATATCAGCAAAGTAAACTACAGAAAAGCCAATCTATCACTAAATACTTACATTATCTACATTATCTAATTTACCTGGTTGACATATTGGTGAACCTTTCTTCCCAACCCCATGTCTTGTGGTAAGAATATAAATACATCCGGGTTTTGATCTTGTTTGAACTAATAAGCCTAGCGTACATGCATTTGGTGGATCGTTTAAATGCCCAATGCTGATACCAGGCATAAGTTTTTCATGGTAATTTGGATGAAATGGCATGACCGTTCCATAATCAATAATCAATAATTACAGGAAAGCCCTCAAACACAGACGGCAAAGAAAATTGTAATGGTGATCCCTTCGGTAGATCTAAAGTAACGATGATAACCTCTCTCTCATCAACCAACCCAAAATCTATCGAAGAAATTTCATCTCTTTCAAATTTCTTCCAGAAAGTATTCTCAGCAGCAAAAAGCTTTTTGAGAATTACTTCATCTTGGATTGAGAAAACTTGTCGATTACCGAGTCGTTCCATTTTATCTTCAAATTGGTTTTTTCCTTCTAAATGTGACATAATGCATTAGAAAGTAATTCTTTTCATTTCTTCCCGAATTTTCAAATTTACTTCTCTTCATTTTGATCAGATCTGTTGAATAAAATTCCTACATATAACAATGTCGAAGAAAAATAAAATTACCTTCACAATGATCCTCACATAAATCAGACATAGATTTATTTAATTTTTCAAGTTCCCTTTCGAAATTTTCTACATTCTTGGGTTTTGGAAGATTTGGATAATTAAGAAATCGACTGGTATAAATTGCCCGTGGGTGTGTTTGATAATTAAGAGGAGTTTCAGTCGTTGTGGTTATTGTATTGGTTGATTCTTGACTTGCTGAAAATTCTTCAGCTTTTTTAATTTGAATTACAATTTTTGAATCGTTATTTTTCCCTTCGTCTAAATATTCTTTATAAAGATCAATGTATTCCTCCAACTCATCCTTTAATTCTTCAAAAGTGGGTCTATGTGTAACTCGAGCATCCAAACACCTCATAATTGTTCTTGTAATTAATTTTGGAGTATGAAATGGAATTTTTGGTCGTAATCCATTGCATATTTTCATAGCTAAATCATAATCATGTGGTATATCAGGATACGGAAGAAAGCCTGTAATTATTTCGCAAGCAATAATTCCAAATGAATATACATCAGCAGCTTTTGTATATTTTTCACCACTCAATACCTCTGGAGCAATATATGGTAATACACCAAATATACACTTTTTTTTGAGACTATTTACCCATATTGATTTACTTAATCTAAAACCCGAAATCTTTAAAAAATGCATAAAATTGGTTGATAAAATATTTCCAGGATGGAAATCTCGGTGAACTATATCTAATTCATGAATTTTCTTCATCACACAAGATAAATACCATAGAATATTTAATTTTTGGATCCAATTAATATTATTAAAATTTTTTTTTAAATAATCTCGAAGATTTCCATCTGTTGCATATTGTAAAACCATCATATATTTGTGTGTTCCTGGATCTTGTGTAATTCCATGAAATCTAATTGAAGCAATCATCCTAGTATGTGCTTTTAAATAAATTTCCATCTAACAATATAAACATTTTAATTTATGGTTAAAACGTTATATAATAATTTGAAAATTTAAATCTAAATATTTACTTCTTTTAAGACATTGTCTAAATTCACAAAATTATCATACTTTTTTAATGCCACTTCTACTACTTCATCTTCATATTCATGACATCTTTTCCATTGTTGATTTTCAATATCCCATTCTCTAATTGGTCCATCAATCCACCTAGCGTAATATATTGTTCCCAATCCACCTCTACCTATTTGTTTAACATCCTGAAATCTATCATAAGGTATCCATTCTATTACTTCCAAATAATCATTAGCATTTAGTTGGGCATCTTGAATGAATTTATCTATTTTATTATTTCCACTTGTCCAATTATTAAAATCATTTTGGAAATGTTTCAAGTGACACGGTTTGCACCAATAATGTCCACTAAAATCTCGATTGCATTCTGAGCATATGAAATTAAATACCATTTTTTTGTTTACTTATAGTATGAAAGGTAGAAATTTTTTTTAAAAAAAAAATTAATGACAATCATATTGTTTTCTTTCATCCAATTGGAATACTGGAAAAAGATTCTTTTTTTTTGGGAAGATTTTCGTGACTCAAAATGGAAAGAGAATGCACCATATTTAGAAGAATAACCCTCACTGCTTATAAATAAAAATAGTATAAAATAAAAATACTCTTGAATTTTTCACAGTAGGTTTTGAAAAGAAAAAGTTCTTTATAATAAGTGGAGTTATAATAATAATGAATAAATGTCTTAATTCAAATTCTAAAATTACTATTACAATTGAGTCTAAAGAGATATTTGATAAGATATAATATGTTCCCTAGTTTTTGAATAATGGTGATAATATTTGAAATAATCATAAACACATGTCATACTTTCTTCAGAATTAGTTAAGGTTAAAGATACCTGCCATAATTATTTCCATGAGTTGTAATTAGTTACCTAGTTACAACTATTTGTTGCAATGTCACAATTATAGTGCTGTTGACCTTAGCAGTCAAATTTTATTTATTATTATATTTATATCTTATTTATTATATTATTATTTTAACATCATGTACACCAACTTGCCAAAAGTATCTGGCAACTGTTTTTTTATCAAATTTATCAATAAAATTCAAGGGCAAATTGTGACACGAGGAATAATTTAAATTGCATAAATTTTTTTTAAAAAGATTTCCTAATCAATAACTATCATATGATATCTTTTCTGTTAAAATTGGATGCTTGCTCAGACAGAAATCTTGTCTTAAATAAAGTTATCCAAAAATTGCAAATCAAATTGTTAATTGTAATGTCTCTTATTTTCAATAACTATCTACTGGAAGTGTAATATATTTTATAAGGACTTATAGCCCTAACTAAGTCTACAATGTTTATTAGTATCATATTTGCTATTTTTTAGTTAAGATCAGAACTTTACTTAGACACAACTAAAAATGATCGAAATTATTGTTGATCATTTTGTTATTTCAGAAAAATTATCAATAATTTCTATATATAAAACATTTTTTGTAACAATAAAATCTTAAAAATAATACTAGGTAATCTTAAAGAGAAAATTATTGTGCATCTACTGTAAAGTTTTTAGAGCTATATCATGAGAATATAGTGAATAATC